GCAGGAACACAGGGACAGCTCTCAAATGTGCCTTTCAGAACTTGTGTCCCTATCTGCAATTGAAACTGATCTAGCCACTGGTCCTAACCCTGACACATTAGGAAAATAGGGAGAGAGGGTAGGACGGAAGATAGTTATGTTAGATTAGGGCAGTAAGAGATAGATACCAAACTAATGCCTAAAATCTCTAAACCAACTGTGTGAAACGATGCAGTGGTCTCAGCTCAGTTCCCAGTAGTCTGAGAGACTGGTTAAATGAAACACCAACACAGTGAGATTGAATTTACACTCTTGTTGTCATAGCAAGAGGAGATATTTTTTACCCTCCCTTTGGAATGCAAATTTATGGACAGACTGTTGAGCTTGAAAGCCTATGTCATTTAAGTATCACAAAACTCTAGTGAAGCCAAACGATGCTTTGTTTACACATGGCATGCGAAAATAGCAAGCACACTCTGAAGTATTTTCGTGTGAGAAATGGTTTGCACGTAGTCCTGAGTGCTCACAATGTTTTAGCCAGCCTGGCTTGCAGCAATGAAATTGCATCTTTCTTAGAAATAACACCAAGGCAAGTTGACAGGGTTTTGAAAATAACTGCAAACTAGGCAACTGGCCTACAGCAATGTGGTTTCATGATACATTCTCTATAGGGAAATTTTAGTAGTCAAACTGCAGAATGTAGTATAATGTAAAAAAATAAGCAGACCATTCCCAGAAGGCTATAAAATCCTGTGGCAATATATAGCAGTTTGGCTGGATGTTGTAACAATTTTATGTTTAGGATGAACATACAAATGTGAGCTACATTAATTCTTCACCCATGTCTCAGAGATCAAGGGCTGCAAAATTAGACTACAAACGTATTCTTTGTTTTAGACCTCTGAAGTGGTTTGGCTGTGCTGTAAGCCCTGTAACACCTTTAGCTGTCTCTAAAGCCATCTTCATCTCTCATCAGCAGAAAGATTTACAGAGAAAGAAGGGAAGTTGCAAATTCTTTGCCCACCATTTCGGCACTGCTCAGCTTCACAAAAGCGGATCCCATCAGGAACGAGCATGAATGAGTGGATGTGGGGAACACCATTCTGCAATTTAGAGCAGACACGTAAGTATAAATGCAGTAAATACTATATTGAAAACAGGAACCAAGAGTGTGACAAATGGCTCCAGCATAAACAAACTGAATGTATTAGCATTTGAGATACCTCTTGTAGACGTTGCCATGGTACTTCTTGAACGTAGGTTTTGACGTACGCCACTTGGCAAAATGTTGTCATGAAGTATCTGCAGATATCTATAGCAAATTGTTCTAAAGTTGATATCTAAGACAGCAAACAGTATTATTAGAAAGAAGCAATTACCTCATGTGCAAAAGTAGGTTGTTCTGATTGTTGTAAATATTTGGGAAGGATCAGTGTTGTTAAAAATACAGATTTCTCTCATTTCTGGTTCTGTGCCTTGTGCCCAGTCGTTTGACCACCTCGCAGCATATGCTGCAAATGGCAGCTACAGTCATGTCAAAAATTTCCCATTCTGTGGTATAGTGAGCTGCAGTCATGGACTGAGAAAAGACTGCTACTGCCTTGTGTGTTGAGGATATAATGCTGAAATAATCATAGCAATATTCTGATTAAGCTTTACAGGTTAAAGATGGGATTTCATTGCTGAGACAATTTACACTACAGGTAGTCATTATGATGGATGCAATTGAGGGAGGTAAGGGCACAGTTAATAGAATTAAGAGGAGTCTCCCATACTTCGAGACCTTCTGTATAAAAATGCTATATAGGAATAATGCAGTATTATGTGCTATTAAATAGACAAAAAAAGATGGATCTTCTATGACAAATCTACAAAAAATACTGCTAGCTCTGTGAGAAAAAAAGGCTTTGGAAAATTAAGGAGGAGTCTGCAGGATAAGCACTGGAGGAGGAAAAGCTCTCTCCCACATCACTTAAGGTGACTTTAGTGCAGATCTGACATGCCAGTGGGGGGAGAGATTATTTTGATGCATTTTGAAAATAAAAATCAGTATAACAAACACTTTCAAATGAAGTCATAAGAAACAGCAAGGCTAGTTACAAAATAAAAAATACCCCATTTTTTTTGGCCAACACAAGGACAATATTCTTCATGGTGTCTGTAGGTATCACAAGAGAGTTGTTTCCATCCAGGTACTCCTGAGCAGAAGTCAGACGGAGATGTGTGCAGACTTCCACCTCTTTAACGAAGTGCTTCTTCCCTTCGTGACGAAGGCGAAGGAACTTAATCGTGTTCTTGCCATATTCACAGTTGAGGACTTCTATATCCTTGATCTGCAGAGAAAATACGTGACAGTTGTAAAGAAACTCAGTGGAAGCCTCAGTTATGCTCAGTCAATGAAACATAATGTTTATGGCTTTTATTTATGTGGTTACCTGTGATAATGAAAATACTCTCATTATGAATTGCAAAGTCTTGATGGGAAGGAAAAATGGTTTAGGAAGCTATTATTACATAAATGACAGCTGTGATAGAATTTTAAATTTTTATGGGGGGCAGATCATATAACATGAGTGCAGTGAACTAGTCCCTTTCATTCCTGACTACATAGACCTCCCTCCAGTCTCCCCTTCATCATCTCTTTCTGAACACAGAGTGTCCCAGTGCATCTTGGCACTGCAGGTATGGCCGTGCAGTGGGCAGGCAGCATTCACACCCACTGCCTCTGCGCCTCTCTAGATACAGCTCCCCATCTTCCCTGGCACCAAGAACAGACTTCCACCACCTCCTACTCCTCTGGCTCCCAGCTCTCACTACTGCCCTCAGGCTGCACCTGTGCAATGTGCTGAACCCCCTCTGTTCTCACACAGGAGCTGGCAAAATGCAGTTGCCATCCTGCATGGCAGGGCCCCCTGTTAGTAGGCAGAGCCCAGCAGGCACTCCCATGTCCCCAGGGCTGCCCCCCATCATGCACACAGGAGTGTAGGGACTTGCTGCTCCGAGGCCAAGTGAGTATCGAAGCTACCCTTCCTCGAGGGGCGGGACAGTTGCTTTGGAAGTGGGCAGGAGTCCCAAACAGAAAATGCAAACAGCCGTCATGTTCTTGGCATGTTGTGTGTTTTATTACCTCCTCTATGGATGTTGCAATTCCCAAGAGCAAGAAGAGAAGACAGACCAAGTTGTGCTGGTTGAAAGCATTTCCTCACAACTGTACATAACACAGTTCTGATTTCCCACAAAAGGGATCAGAAGCAAGTCTGAACAGAAAAATTCAGGCCTTGATCCACACCTCCAAAATCCTGGCTTTCTGGGATCACTGGTTTTGTTTATGCTGTTCAGTTTTATCCTGCTTCTGTCAAACACACCTGGTTTACATATCTATTACAGTGTTGGAGAAGCTCTACTAGAAAGAAGACAAAATACTGCAAATGTATTTCTGTTATGCTAAAATAGCCAGAGCTTGTTGGCATAGACTTTCCCTGAGGCTTAAATATCCCATACTGTCAACATATTTTAATGTAAATCAGCACCTTTTAATGTAAGCATAATGAGGAGGGAGAAAGAATATTTTACATACCAAATTGACGCTTCTTTATGTGTGAATTGCTAAAAAATTATCAGATGTAAAATTGCTCAATTCAAACATGTTTGTTCCTAAGAAAAATGCTAATGCACTTAAAAGATAATTTTTAAAAAAATTAACTAATTGTAAGTAAATTACCGTGGCTCAGAGATCAGAGCGTTTTCTCTGACTGACAGTCCCTGCGGGCTCAATCCCCACAGACAAATGAGGGCCCCAGCACCACAGCCAGAACCAGGCAGGGCTCGGCACTTCACCAGAAACCCTCTTTGCAGGGGCAGCGCAAAGGCTGTGCTCAAGAAGTAGTGAGATGGAAATGACTTTGTTTTGCTTGTCTGAACACAGAATTCTTTTCAGATAGCTGTAAAAAATTCACACTTCAGTCATGCAGCACTAAAAAGAAAAAAACCAAAAGGTTTTGGTATCTACAGCTTTTTTTTTTAAAAGCAATATACCTTGAATATTTTAAATAGTCAAAATACTACCTCCTAAAATACAAAGGTAAGTTTTCTCAAAAACATAACTCGACAACTGTCATTTTACCATTTTGTTGCCCAAATAAACCAGGAGCAGTTTTCAGCAGCTCCCAGGAGCCCTGGCCCCGCTGCCGACAGCCGTCCCTGCAGCAGGAGCCTGACTTTCCCGGCTGGCTCTGCCGTCCCAGGCAGCCGCCCAGGGTGTGCTTACTGCGCCGTACAGCAGGAGCGAACGCAACACAACTTCTCCTTTTAGAGCTTACTCAGTGCTCGCCCTGTGCAGCCGAGAAACCAAAATGCCCTCCATATCTGCATGGTGTCACCCTGCTTTGCTATTGCTTCTCTCCCCTGCGCCCCTGTGGGCAGCTGAGATTTCCTGCAGGAATGAAGATGGGGAAACAGTCGATTGGTAAGTAAATACCACGCAGGTGAGTAAATAACACTTGAGATCAAACTGCGTGGAGTAGATGGATCACTGAGAAGTAATGCATAGCAATCATTGGTTTAATCCTGTTTGCTTGTGAGTAGTAGCTGAATTTTGCATTTGGAAAACCTCGGATAAGTTACTGAAATGTGATTTCATTTCACTGAACCAACCACCCTGCTGCATTATGGCTGCCTGCAAAACAGTCACCATTTTACACAGCGTTCATGTCTCATCATCAAAGGGAGCGTAACCTGTGTTCGGGTGCCAAGGCTGTGCTCGCCGGCGGCAGCCCCGGGGGCTCCAGCACGCAGCTCCTCTGCTGAGGGCACTGAGCCGAGCGGGGAAAACATCCGTATCTCAGCCTCATCGCTCGTACTCGGACAGCAGCGTGGTGGGACCCGTCCCCTTGCTGCTGTCGCCGACGGGGAGCGGAGGCTGAGCCGCCCCCGGGAGCGATGCGGGAGAGGCGCGGGGCGGGGGCGGCAGTGTGGGAAAGCGGCGTCTGCGCCCTGTGACTGAGGAGGAGAGGTGGATCCCTGCCGCTGGAGCTGCCTGCACGTTCGAGCTGGCACCAACTCGGACAGCAGCGTGGTGGGACCCGTCCCCTTGCTGCTGTCGCCGACGGGGAGCGGAGGCTGAGCCGCCCCCGGGAGCGATGCGGGAGAGGCGCGGGGCGGGGGCGGCAGTGTGGGAAAGCGGCGTCTGCGCCCTGTGACTGAGGAGGAGAGGTGGATCCCTGCCGCTGGAGCTGCCTGCACGTTCGAGCTGGCACCAGCCCATCGGCAGCAGCGAGCCCGGGTTTGGGTATTAAATGATTAGTTGGATTAATGCGCTTTGAAGATGAAAGACAAAAAGTATAAGTACATACTATTCAGCCCAAGTTTAAAAAGTGAAACAAGGGCTTTTAAAAAAGAGCACAGAAGCCTCCCAAAGATAAATATCAACCAATTTCAACAGAAAAGTGTCTTTCTTGTGGAACAGTGATTAGTTTGGATACAAGTGACAAAGAAGTAGAAGCTTCTTGCACACAGAGCTAACTGCAGGGAAGGCAGGGGCTCCTCACACTGCAGACAGGCTAATGAAGCAGGAGGGTAAAGCCAGCTTTGCTCTGTATTGGCGTAGCATCAAATGCATGAGGGTCTGGTCCATCCCTGTGACTTGTCACACTTGACAAAGCCCTTCTGGATAATGTGATTACTTTTTTTTTCAGGAATCAGACTCTTAGATGGTCCAGCTACCCAACAACATATATGTATGAGAAATTTAATTCCTCTGCAAACTGTAGTTATTCGTTGCAGAATGAGTCTGTGCTAAAGCTAAAAGAAAAACAGACCAAACCCCAAACAAAAAAAACCCCAAACCAAAACAAAAACCCATTTACCATCCATTTCTTCAATGAACACATTTTTTTGTATCCAAGTTCTCTGAGAAGCTCTTTAACAACTATAGCTAGGAGCAATTCCCCTGTGCCTCCATGTGAACACCAGCGATGTGGGACCCATCCCAGAAGGGAACTGAGCGGGTCTGCACAGGCAAAACTATGTTCCCTTCTGACAAATTTAGCAGGCAGGAGAAGAGGGATTTCCTTTCCAATGTGCCATGATCAAACGAAAGAGAAGCTTGCCTATTCACAGGGGTCATCCTTGTTTATTGACAAGAAGTAGTCAACTTTTGCCTGATTCTGGATTTGGGTGCTATGAAGCTGATAGGAGAAGCAGAACTGAAACTGCTTCCTCTTAAGCAAAAGATGTTGATGCCCTTTCAAACAAGCACAGCACTGCAGGATTTATATGAAGTTAGCAAGTGCTTTATGTGAGTTCCTACTGTTCAGTGGTTTCATCCTGCAATATTCCATAATTATTCATTATTAATAGTCATGCACCCTTTCATTTGCCACTAAACCGGAGGAATCACTTGCCTTATCTGACCTGATCCCATCTGCGCTCTTCAGCCGTGCCTGCAGTTTCCACCCACACGTGGTGCCTGGGCTGGCAAAGTCTCCCCCGTGTTTTCATTCCACTCAGGAGCTCATCCCATCCTCTTGACTGCACCTTGCACAGGGGCTACCAGAGCACATGGCTGTAGGATCAGCTCTCTAAGGAGGGTAGAGAGTCTTTCCTTTATTCATCCCAACTCACTGTATTCTGTGGGAAGCTTTTCATGCAAATAAAAGTCAAAACTGCTTTCTGAGAAGTGTTGAGTCAAGGACTAAAGCCACGAATGCAGATTGGTTGGTTGGCTTTTTTTTGGGAGGGGGGGCAGGGAGGAAGTAAAGATGTGATTGAGAAGTAAAGATGTGATTATCTGTAGCAAGTTAGTGTTCAGTCACAAGCAATGTGACAATGCTAATTGGGTATAAGAGGATTTGCTTTTCCTTGGTTCTCAGAAAAATACTTCCACTCTGCTCCCACAAATGCCTAAGCTTTTGAGAAACTTCCTGTGAACAAGTAGCAGTGAAAACTTTGATACAACTTTAATTGCTGATGCACTCGGCTGGCTTTCTGGAAAGGTCCAAAACATGTACCCCCTGGGAACTGGCAAGCAATTTACTGATAGCTCAACTACTGGCATTTCCATAAGCATACCTGCTAATGCAGGTTTGTCAGATGCAAGGCTGTAAACACCTAAGAGCATAAATCTTCCAATACATATCAAAGCAGTTTGGAAAGGCTTATTCCTGGATCAGCTCATACCACTGTAACTACTGCTGTTCCTCTCATTTCCAAATCTTCATTTCAAATACAGGGATTGCTGTGACTTCTCGTGCATGGACAGCTCTCCCCAGCCTTGCTGTATAAATCTCTGTGATCTGCCATCAGCCACAATTTCTCCTGAGATATTTAAGGAACATCACTCAGTGGCAATGCAGGCAGAGTACCAGGATCACCAGGGTGTGTGTTTCTCTTCCTCCTGTATGCGTGCGTTTCCCAGGGATTAACTGTTGCTCTAGCAAAGTGCTTTCCTGACACTTCTTACTTGCTTTCGCAAGTGCTTTTTTGACCAACTTGAGACTGTAAATCAACTGGGCAAAGCTTACTCCTCCTGATATACCTGAAGGGTTAAGCACAGTCAGGCTGCATTTTTTTGCTAAGTACTATAGTATTGAAAATAATGCCACTCAGTTCTTACTATTGACATAAATACTAAATTACTCAAGTACAGCACTTAAAGAAAGTGGCTCAATTAATTATATTGCAATTAATCCCATGGACTTGTGCGCTGGGAAAGCTGGGACATCAATACGAACTGAGCCATTTGCTGACACTATTGAGTACTCTACAATTTTGAGAAGATTTGTATTTCTGGCTAATAGTTTGTAAATATAAATATTCAGTCTTCAACAATTCAGCAGAGTGTGAGTCTGTTATGAAAGGTAAGATTGTGTTTTTAATATGTATAAAAATAACGATCAATTTTTATAATTTTAATACATAATTTTATCTATTCCATGTAAAGTTATATTTTTATAATATAAAAATGTATT